ACCTCGATTGGTGATGAAACGTTTGCAATACAATTGTCAAACTCGGTGAACAACTGAACACCAAATATATATATATATATATATATGCGTGTTCTTTCAGACTTGGTGTAGGTGAGCGAAAACCTAAGTGGCAGATGTTGGACAGGTATTCTTGATGCATGGACTATTAAGCGGAAATATCGCAGTAGAGTAACCACATCGGAGGAGAAACCGATTGAGCGCCTAATCACGGTTGATTATCATGCTGTTCTGGTTCTCGCGACTACAGGGCTTCTCCCGTTTGCTGTTCGCCACACTAAGGTGTGTAGTAAAAAAAACATCTCTCCCGTACATTGTTCTTAAATAAACATTTTCATACAGTGGTCCAGACAACTGAATCGATAGCGACTCTGATATCCGATGATACAACGACAGTCGGACCCGCACTTGGTGTGTCGGTGTTGGAGGAGTTAGCAGACCGACAGTGCATTTCTAACGTGGGTAAAAACCGGAGCAGGTTTGCTTCGCGCAAAGTGCGAAGAAGTATTACAGCAATCGGCATATAGGTGGACTTCTCTGTAAGCGTTTCGTGAAGATGTGCGAAGCGGATAGCTCCATCCAATCAGTGGAGGGATCTTTGTCCTGCTCTACCTATTAAATCACACAATGCTTGATTTAAATGTGAATACTGACTGGCGTAATACGAGTAAAAGCATTAGTCGACGCTTCTACTCCTAAGCAGAACACAGATAACTACGTATGTGCAAAAGATGGAATTAGACGCAGGGCTCAGCAGATATCGATATTTCCTTTCAAAATTTGAATGACGAAAAGGAATTTATTCCTCTGAAAGACTGCCGAATTATATATAGATATAGGAACAGGCGAATTTCAAAACAAAATACTCCTCGTAATGAGTGAATGAGTAACAAAAAACAAAAAATAAACAGATTGCTTACACGTCTAGAGCGCTCTTCCGGCGGGGAACTACCATTCGGATCAAGGGAATCGTGTGCCCGGTAGTCGACAATCCCCGGATCCGGATTGTGGTCAGACACGGAAGATTGGGATGTTGGTGGTGGTGCTGTGGGTGGTGGCGGAGGAGGAGGCTTGAGCAAAATAGAAATATGTGGACCAATTGCTTTCGTCTCCAAACCTGTGGATCGTTCCAGTCTCGGATTGTCCACGGTTGGATTGGGAGCAGTAGCTCGAGGTCGATGACGCGGAACAACCGACGTGTTGGCCACTGTGTCCGGGGTGGTACTATTCATCGGTTTTATAGGGGCCGCATGCTGAGTGTTCGGAGATCGATGTGGTGGTGGTGGTGGCGGTGGGGAGTGTGAACTGCAGGCAAGGGAGACAATAATGTGGATAGCATCAGGTGTTGCACAGTTGGATTGACCAGACCACATCGCACGAACACATCCACTGATAAGAATCAACAGAATTACTGCAATGGGCAATCGAGATTTTTTAATAAGTAAATAGACCAAATAGGAAAAGAAGTTTCTCCACGAGTGCACACATGTCATTTTCACTCTAGCGCGTCGTTTTGTAGCGTCAGTCGTTACCCGAAACTGTAAAGAATGCTGATACTGCCGTACTAATATAGATAATTACTGCTACTTTCTCTCTAATAAACCACTAGGTGGTTGATACACTTTGGTGGTTTTGTGGATCTTGAACAATACTTGACTTGATTCGACACAAAAAGTTACCGGACAGTACACGTCTGTATCATTCTCCTCACTCGCATATTAAACAGCTTCCGGATGAACAAAACGCTCAGAGGATCAGATCCAATGCTGGAATGGATGGTATTGAAGAGTGTGCTGAATGAACCTCGATAGATAAGCGAACCGATGTTGAGGACGCCAGTTTTCTCACCTTCAGTGGAACCTTTTCAAGGCAAGTCCGGTATTTGTAACTGTTGACACGCAACGTTTCATCATACTATTGATCAGATACTCTATAGTTCCTGCTCCCAGTTCCATCCATTGGTCGACAAACGCTTTCTCCAGTTGGTCTTTGGCACGGAAAGTCTCTTGAGTGTCGTGACCGGACAACGGACATAACAAACTCAGAAGAACAATCGCATGCACGCACACACACACACACACACACACACACACACACATATATATATATATATATATATATTCGTGCCGCGAACTGAATTGAGAACAACGGAAACAAGAGAGAGAAAAATTGTTAAAGAACCCCTATAGCTGAACGGATAAAACCAGGACAGTGAAATTCCAAACACACTGAAGATATCAGCTCGGTGGGGGATTAGATATTTTCAAACAAACTGACAAGCTTGATGAACAGAAGAAAATAAAGATTTGTGCCTGTCATATGCACAACTTGACGTGATTCCAAACACACTGTTCAACCGATTGAAACCAATATTGTCAGTCAAGAGGTCAAACATCAGTATACAACAACCAACCTTTCACGACGTATGTTCTGTGATTTGCCTATCTTGACTTGTTGAGAAACGGAACCATTTGACCCCAGAATATGGAAAGACACTGACCGTTAAGTCTTCGTATAGCATATTTTGGTTTTACTTTCCCTATACTATGGCTAGAGAACTTCCTCTTACCCTACAGACGGGCCCGAATACCATAATTGAGTCTTATTTTAAATTTCACTTGAAGCGCATCCGTTCTACCTTCCATGAATCAGGTCATTAACATGCCAAGCCATCCGGACTCTCACTACAGAACACAACTTTCTTCCCTTAATCGCTCCAAGTCATGCATTTTTTTGCCCACTGAACGTTGCGCTACATCAGACCTTAAGACAGAGAACGCCTCATCTTCGAGCACTTGGGCTCCGAGTATAAGCTACCATGAGCCATCATCGTCTTCTAGTTTTAACAGACATGTTTTTATCATACCGTAGTTTTCTAAAGATACTAGTGAAATGAGTGAGTACAAAATGGTCAACTCCAGNACCATCCCTGTTGAGGTTCACCTGCTATTCCATCCGGCGGTTCGATAGGACTTTATCTTCCTCGCTGATTGGTTTCCAGGGAACGACTGTCAAATGAACTGAGACACAAGCCCATGTGATTCAGACTGTAGTTTCCACTTTTACTATGCCACCTTGCTCTTTATCATCATTGAATATTTACTGAATTTCATATATACTTAAGTTCATTTTCATTGAATGTACGCCAAAGCAAAGGTGATAATTTTTTCACTGAAAATTCTGTTCAGTGGTTGAATAAAGTGTATGCTTGATTTGACCTCATTTCGAAGGATCCTGTGAATATATGAGCTACCTGACAAGAGTTCAAAATTCCAACCCAAATGAGTTGCAGAGACGCAGATGGGGAAAAACGGGTGACCTCAAAAACGCATCATGCACTCTACAGTTCATCACAATACAGCAGAAAACTCTCGAATTTGTGAGCACAGTCTTTTTTGTTTCATGACTGCGAGTTGACCAGAGAAGAGGAAGGGGATATCCAGGGTCGTTTCACTAAAACACTGTCCATATTGATAGGAGGCCGATTCCTCGTCCCGTGGCATTAAATGGTATGGGAATCATCCAATCTATGGATATATAATAAATGTTTTTGATTAGCAACATAGGGTGCAGAAGGGCAATCACATGACCACTGAGGTAAAATATGACACTTACTGATTAAATTTGGATGGCGGAGCTTTAAGTTGAGATTCACGTGGTGGAATGGTCAGATCTTGCCAGCGTGGAACGGGTAGGTTCTGCAGGGCAATGTGTAATGAAAATGGACCACAGATAGGAGAAATATTTCATCTCCGAACAGATACTTCAGATAATGATAAAATATCCGCTATAAATATCACTTTCGAATGAGCTGACACAATATTGTACTTAATATGCAATAAACATACGACCCATTTTCAAAAGCGATGAAGCCTAACTGAATCAGTTCAAGGGAATACAAGAACAGAGGGGGCGTTTCGGAGTGGTGGTGGTGACAGTGGTAGCGATAGTAACCGAAAACTTGTTACTCACTAACCATCGTGCAAGAGAACCCATTCATGTATAACAAAATTACCACTTGGGGAAGATTATGGGTTAAAATATCCCTCAAATAACAAGTTTAGTTTATCAGAGCTGTTGAAAATTATTTACCGGGTACCCTTTGATTGAACACTCAGACATATCACTATGCGCCATGCAATACTTTGAGGGGTAATCAAGTTGTATTATTGTCGTTATGTGCGGAACTCTTATTGCCACCCAAACGTACTGGTAGCATGCTTTATTCAAAACGCACATGTGATTTTTTTAACGATACATCTGTATGGCCTTGATCGTCGACTCAATTCCGGATGTTGATGGTTCATGTTCCCTCCTATTTTCGATAGAAAACGGTGATGGTTAATCGCAAAGCATATCGCAAAACAAGAATTTGATTTTCAGGTGAACTGGTCAATGTGTTTCTTGTTACCAGTCCAACACATTTTCGTCGAGGGCAGCGCTACACAAAGGAGAGTAAATTTGACCACACGGAGAAACCCCGGAAGAAACGCAAGAGCGCGAACAAAAAAGCCTGTAACAGATTCGAGACCAAGTTACACCGTGATTACCCAATACAATTGTAAACATTATCACCAGCGCTTCACAGCTGCTTCCGCATGTGTTATGAATTGGATGACCCTCGACATTCAAGGTCAAACTAAAGACCATAGAATTGAAGGAAAATTCCGTCGCAAATGTGCTCTCCCCCAATTGAAAACATTCGCGTTCACTTGGGATGTATTAGTAAATGATCGAAAATTGTCCCGGGAAGAAAACTAGAAATTGTATTGAGGTCAACCGGTCCAAACAACTAACGCGTGCGCGAACCTGAAGAGTGCAAACTACGGGAAAATAGTGAGAGACAATCGTTAAACTGTCAAGCAACCGTTTAGGATTGTGACCTTATGAGTTTTATATCTCCCGATGATTGGTTTACATTTATAATATTTACCTTAGAAAAAAAGATCAACTGTAAGACAGGGTACGAGAAAAAACTCATGACCCTTATCCAATGAATATAACAGTCGTGGGCTTGTGATTACGCTGTCTTTCCTCTCTCTCTCACACACACGCACACAGATATATATATATATATATATATATGTTTGTCTGTGTGTGTGTCAAGCCCTTGCCGTATTGAATCCAGCCCGATTATGGTATCGCAGTTGCTTCCGACTGAAAAAATCACAACCTACGTTACCTCCCAAGAACGTATGCAAGTTGGAACTCAGCTGAGCGACACTAAATGATGGTAATTTAGTAACACAGCAACTTAGTTTACTAAGCATACGTAAACAGCCCTGTGAGATGTACAGATTTTCACCCTTCGAGTGGGTTAGACGGAAACTGCGCGGTACGGTACTCATCCTATTTTGAGCTAATACCTACTGAGAATACAGCCATTTGCTTGATGTGACAGCTCGCACCCTCCCCCCCTCCCCTCCCCTTAGCATCAGAAACAACACAGTCGGGTGTAGTATTAGAGAGCTGAGCAAGGAATCTAATATTCGAACAATTTGATTGCTGGTACACATATCCCAGCTGGGAAAATCTTGGTTTGCGTTGAACGTTGGTATACAGTCCATAAACTGGTTCAAAGACAAGTCAACTTTGGTCAATCCATTGACACACATGACCTCCGCGTTTTCACTGAAGAGGTTTAAAACCAGGCAAGTGAATCGCTCAGGTGACACGGTCAATTCTCGCTCCAGCAGCGATGTTCGATAGGCTTTCCAAATAGATGAAAATTTCCGATTTGGTTATCGTAAATTCGGATCGTACTCACAGGCCGCCGGGTCTGATGAACTCTAAACAAACTAAGAGCAAGAATAACACAGCTGTACGGTACTCTTTACTTGGACTTTCTGTTAAAAATACATTCAGAAAAGTGTCGATGAATTGCAACATAAAAGACAGAAGAGAAACTCACATTCAAATTCTGTGCGGGATTTGTTCGTCCGGAAAGAGAAAAGGCCAAAGCACAAGTTTGATAGATGTCGGGTCGCTTATATGCATCCACACATAGTAGATAACCTGAACGGATGGATGGATGGAAGAATGACACGGAGCGGGGAAGAGAAACAAAGCAGAGCATAAAGCATAAAGCAAACTGTAAGTCCAGTGTATCGACTAGCCCTGACCTAAAGCTCTCTTCCCGAGAAGAAGTCAGCTTCGGTTGGTCCAGCCCAACGACCAGAATGGACCCCAAGGGATGAGGGTTTCGTTGGTTAGAGATGTTG